GGCGCGGCCATGTGGGGTTAGCCCGCGCCGCGCCTGCCCTGCAGTAGGACCGGCAACATGGAGGCGGCCGTCGGCGCTCCCGACGGGGTGGACCAGGGCGGCGCGGGGCCCCGCGAGGACGCGACGCCCATGGACGCCTATCTGCGGAAACTGGGCTTGTATCGGAAACTGGTCGCCAAGGACGGGTCGTGCCTGTTCCGGGCCGTGGCGGAGCAGGTAACGGGATGGGGAACGGGGGGAGGCTGGGTGGGAAAGCGGCGGCGGGCAGCTTTGCGGGCCGCCCACGTCCGGGGCAGCGCGTGGCCAGGCTGGCGTCACAGCGGTCCATTGTAACGCAGGAATGGGACGCTGCCCTGGGTCTGGAAGCTGTAAATCGAAACTTAAAAACCCGTAAATTAACTGGGTGTCGGTGTCGTCCCTCCCGGTGAAGAGGTAATGAGGACAACCTGTGAGGCCTGTTGAGCGCGTGTACGGTTGATTGATTGCTGGGGACTTGGCGAAATGATATTTTTCCATTCTGTTTCGCATTCACCTTCTCTCGGTTTTATAAGCACAGCGTTCACGCCAGTAAACCAGCTGTTTACTAGAGGAGGTGGTGCACCAGGCATTACTCGCAGAGCTTTTTTTTTTTTTTTTTTTGCTGTACTGGACTTTGGAATGTGGGGGAGTCTAGCCCGTCGATGTCCACTTGACTCAAGAGCGGAAAAATGTGCAGTTTGGGAAAGTCAGCTTTTTAAAAATATAGAATGTTTCAAAAGAATTGTCTTTGAGTAGATTCCACTCTTTGTTATGCTCTGCAAGGTGTGCTAAAAATAATTTACTTCTTAAAAGTCTGGTGTTGGGGATTCTCTAGGCTTTTGACCGAATTTTTCCTTGCTAATGGTCAACATGACTTTCTAACAAGGAATAATTTTTTTTCTTTTATAAGAGAGCTTTTTCCGTGTTATATAACACTGTGTAGTTGGTGTGCAATCACCACAACCCATCCTATATTGAAAAATAGCTGCTGAAATAGTTGGATAAAAGTTTCACATTACTGCCCTGGTGTGCATTTCATACCTTTCACAGTTTGCTTTCCTTCAACTTAAGATCTCTTCTCTTTTCCTGCTGTAGAGTTTTTATGATTTTTTTCCTACCTTTTTTTGAATTCTAAATAGTTTTTCAAAATTTCTGTTTGTGAGTAAATGTTTTACTTAACATCTGTAGACTGTAGTTTTTTTTTTTTTTAACTTCTAAAGGCCAGCCATTTATTTTCTAGAGGCCCTTGTTTTCACATCAGTATCATAAAATCTTTTTTTCAAGCGAGAAGTTGATTTACCTACTTCAGGTTTGCATTATGTTGCAGGCATTGTCATTCAGACATTCTTTGTATAACTCCCCAAATTCAGCTCTTTTTCAGTTCATTAGATTTCTCTCATTTTTAGAAATTTAGGATGTTCCAGTGTTGTTGCGGGATATGTTCACACACTCCCACCCCAGTCTTTACTATTAGTAGATAAACAATCTGTCCGATTTGTGAATTTTCCGGATCTCCATCTGTCCTGCTGCTTCTGCCTCAGCCTCCCTGGACTGCTCAGCACCTCCGGAAGCAGAGAGAAGGGGTGGAAGTGAATTCAGCCCTTATTTACACATAGTGTTAGCTCTAGCAAGAATTTGGTAAGGAAGGAGGTAGAAACGAATGGAAATAAGGGAAGTATGACGCTTATTTGGCATTGGATTATCCCGATCCTGGTTCATACTGAAGTAGAAAAGTGTGTCCGGTTTCAGTATCCTGTGCCATAATTGGCAAACTTGATTATACAGAAATCTCTTTTATTGAAGGGGGAAATCTATTTTTTTTTTAAGATTTTATTTATTTATTTGACAGAGACACAGCGAGAGAGGGAACACAAGCAGGGGGAGTGGGAGAGGGAGAAGCAGGCCTCTTGCTGAGCAGAGAGTCCGACGCGGGGCTCGATCCCAGGACCCTGGGATCATGACCCGAGCCGAAGGCAGACGCCCAACGACTGAGCCACCCAGGCGCCCGGGGAATCTCTATTTTTAAGTAGAAAGGTGCAAAGTTATTATCACTAAGAACTAACTCATTGCTCACATCATATAACACCTTTTATTGTATCTCATAAGATTTAAATCAGGCATAAGAAAATACCCCTTCGGGGCGCCTGGGTGGCTCAGTCATTAAGCGTCTGCCTTCGGCTCAGGTCATGATTCCAGGGTCCTGGGATCGAGCCCCCCATTGGGCGCCCTGCTCTGCGGGAAGCTTGCTTCTCACACTCCCCCTGCTTGTGTTCCCTCTCTCGTTGTGTCTCTCTCTCTGTCAAATGAATAAATAAAATCTTAAAAAAAAAAAAAAAAGAAAATATCCTCTTCGATTATGTGACTATGGTTTTTAGTATACTGAGTTTAGAAAGCTTAAATCCATGAATTTTGAGGGAAACTCCTTTCTTAAGTAGACATGGATTAAGGGTGTAGTCTTCATGGCTAAAGGCAAAGTGTGTGTGTGTGTGTGTGTGTGTGTGTGTGTGTGTGTGTCTGTGTCTGTGTCTGTGTATTGGGGTGGGGAGGGAAGTAACACCAACCTCAGGCTTAAAGGGTGTGCTCTATAAAAATACGTACAAAGGATTTACTTTTTTGCCAACAGTTTTTCCAATAATATTTATCATTTCTAAGGAGCCAGAGTAAATCTAAATGGCAGTCTTTGGGAGGTAGGGTAGGGGAGAGATTTGAATTAGGAGTAGTCTTTCCCTCCAAATTACCTGATTTAGTTAGGCCCTTCCCTTTTTACACTTCTGGACTTGGGCCTGCAGGAGGCCTGACCTGAATCAGCTCTGTGGCCATGGAGCTAAAAATAGGGTGCTCTTAGAGGATTTGCTAAAGCAGCGTGTCTTGGCCTTTCCCAGTGTTTATCACTATCTTGTCCCAAGTAAAGATCAGAAAGTCTCCTATTTTCTAGGTTATTTTCATGTATATAATAATTTGCAGAGATATTTGTCTTACCACTTGCATTCTTCCTCAATGTCCTTGAACTTGCACAAAGTTATACTTTTTTAAACAGTTGTCATTTAACCTTGCTTCTCTTGCAGTGCTTGGCTTTGTAAAGCTCCAGCACTCTGCAATTTATGGAAGTTGCTGAGAATTTTGCTTCTGAGTGACAGGTTCAGATTTCATGTGCTAATTAGATTTTTTAAGAGGAGAAGAAACAGATACGCTTGTCATTGTTTTTGATGGCAAATAAGCTTTATTCAGTTATGTCTGCCACCTGTTGCTAGGTAAATGGCTTTAGCACTATCTTCAGTTTGCCGATGCCAGGAAAGCCCTTAACAGACAACACTGGTTTACTCAAATAATACCTTGATTCATAATAGTGTCTAAAGTAGCTTCTGTGGAAGAAGTGTTGCTAAATGTCATTTGTTGAATTGGCAAAAATATTGTGTGGTGGTTTATTTTTATATATGGACATTTCTTCCAGCTTAGAATGTATAAAGATGCTTTTTAATAGTTTCCAAGATAGCAATGTTAGGTGTACTTCGTTAAGCTAAAAACCAGCTGTATACTGAAAAACTTACTGCTAACTTCAGCTAGTACATCTTCAATTTACCTTAATGTAAAGACATAACTAGCTGTTTCCAGACAGTTGTGCCTGTCTGGTTCTGTGAGTATAAAGATTTTATTTATTTATTTATTTTAGAGGGAGAGAGAGAGAGAGATGGAGAGAGGGTGTGCTAGTGATTGCAAGTGCGTGTGCCAGGAAGGGCAGAAAGGGAGGGTGAGGGGGGAAGAATCTCAAGCAGACTGCACTGAATGCAGAGTCCAGTGTGGGGCTTGATGCCAGGCTCCATTTCATGACCCTGAGATCAGAGATCATGACCTGAGTGAAACCAAGAGTTGGACACTTAACTGACTGAGCCACCCAGGCGCCCCTTTAGTTCTGTGAGTATAAATGAACCTTGGATGTTATCCATAGAGACCTGTAAAATGCAGCTGGAGCCTCCCTTTTCCTGAATTCTCTGCTCACCTGAACATGAGGAAAAATCACTCATTTGGACCTGTAACTCTTAAAGCTACTTTATATTAATATAAATTCTCAAGAGCCTTATTAGTATTTGGACATGTGGTTATTTTAAATGTTTCAGGGTTTTGTTCCCCCCCCCCTTAACCCTTTAGGGTACCAGGAACATCTTCATTTGAGACACTCAGTAATAGAAAATAATTTTAATCTTTTCTTTTAAGCTTGATAGTTAAAAGTGTTGGAGGTTAGCCAGAAGGGTTCCTAAACATTTGGTTATACTAGTTTCTTTCAAACCAAAGCTTTAGCATTTTAGTAAGAGACAAAATGCCCATAAGATACCCTTTTGTTGAACTAGTTTAACAGAAGAATACAGAGGCTACAAAGTGAGAGGATTTGGATCATCTTTGTAGTGTCTTATTTCAGTTGGTGCTTAAGATTTTGGGCTGGGGCTCTTGGCTGGCTCAGTTGGTAGAGCACGTGACTCTTGATATCAGGGTCGGGAGTTTGAGCCCCATGTTGGGCATGGAGCTACTTAAAATAAAAACAAACAAAAAAAAGATTTTGGGCCTAAGAGCAAGTTTCTAGGCTGTTGGGATGACAGCACACAGCAGCATGTTTGCATCCTGTGTGCTGCTCACTTGGATATTCTTTCAAGAGTTGTATAAGCCTGACAAGGATTTGGGAATGAGCACCTTAATTTTTCTGAAACCCACAGTGGACTTAAATTTCTACATAAGGCAAGTAATTCCAAATTATTGAGAAAAAGAAATCTAATTCTTACAGGCTTAATGGATTCCTGTTGAAGTTGCCTGTTCTCTTTTCCAGCAAGCATAGGATGAAGCTAAGTACTATGTAGCAGGAATTCTGTTAGCCCTTCTTTGTGAAGAGCAAGGCTATAAGAGGGCTGGTCAAGAAAGGAAAAGTATGTTAAGTTTACAAAGGTTTCCTCACAGGAGTGACCTAAAGGAGAAATGGTAATAAATTCTTCCAAACTGACTTAAGAAGTACCACTGACTGTATAGGTCACTTCGTCTGTGGTTAGAGGAAGAGGTGGGAATGAATAAAGATTTAGAAATTACTAAATGGCAAATGGAGAGAGACTGATTTCTATCAGTTTTGGGGTTATTTAGGGTGTGAAAGAAAGTGCTAGCTTGTACCGTAAATCCTCTTTTAACAAAATGTGTAATAGTGTGTTGCTTTTCCTTTTCAGGTGCTGCACTCTCAGTCTCGCCATGTGGAAGTCAGAATGGCTTGTATTCACTATCTTCGAGAGAACAGAGAGAAATTTGAAGCGGTAATTTGTAATTTTAAACATGGAATGGTGTCTTGACTTGCATTTATATTTCAGCCTTTAGAAGTGGCCTGGTGGGAGTTTCACAGCCTGGATCTTAAATGCAGGTTATGAAAAAAAAAGAAATTAAAAAAGAACTGCTTTATTGAATTTAAATCCAGTTATATTCAATTGTGACATTTTTAGACTTTTTTGTGGTTTTCATTTCTTTAGACATTTAGAAAGCTATGATAGTTAACTGTGGAAGTTGGATGGATGACCTGGACAGAATCCTTGCATATTAAGAGTGAGCTTTGTCTATCATGGTCAGGGAATTGGGTGTCAGTTAATTAATAGTTTTCTGTGATTGGTAACCCCCTATGAATTTAAAAAATTTCAGACTTGGAGTATAAAAAACATGCTGAGCAAAGCTAATACTGAACCTTTAATTTTATCAGAAGGCATTTATAGATTTTTAATTTTCAGGGTTCATCATCGTGAATCACACATCAGAACACTGTAATTATGTAAATAATGATTAATAGTTGCTAGGATGTTGTATAGCAACTTACTGTAATTTTCTCAGTAGTATGTAGTAGCTGTGAAATAAGATGCCACAGTGGCCTGTTTTCATTTTACATTGAAAGCTTTATAGGATTTACTAGTTACTGGTTTTATGACCTAGAATTATGTCGTCAGACTTTCAATGATATTTTTCCTCTTTGACTGCCAAAAAAACACTGACACCTTGCAAATAACTCAATTCTAAAACTTAATAGGTAAATAGTTCTTAATTTGGATGTGCTTTTCAGTTGATGTTCCTGTATTCAAGCCAGATGTTACTACTGGTGACATTCTGGGTGTATTCTAGGTGCCGTGTTATAAGAAAGGCAGTAATGTATTCCAGGAAGGAGAGTTAACCTACTTGATCAGGAGATTTGAGAACTTGTTTTACAAAAAGGAAACTGGTGATGTGGAGGTTAGATAAGAGTGTTAGGGTATAGTACAAAAGGGGGAGGGATGGGGAGAGTGGAGTGCTCTTTAAGTATTTTAAAGAAATTACAAGTGATTAATCATTATTATTGGCCCCAGAGAGTAAAACACTGTTGACAGTAATGGAAATTGCTGTCATTGGTTGAGCACTTCTCTGTGCCAGGCATTGTTTAAGTTCTTTGCATATATTTATTTAGCCCTCAACAGTCTTAAGAGGTATGATCAGAGGTTGAAAGTTCCAAGGGGAGAAGTTTCACTTTCCTTTTATAATTTATAGTAAGTGCCTTTAAACAATTCCTGTTGGCCAAAATTGGAAAAGGTGGTCATGGGAAGGAGGGTGGAGTTTTGTGCTTTGTTTACTGACAGTGTTTAGTCAGTCTAGATGGATACTTTCTAATTGACTAGAAAGGAGAATCTCAGATTGGATGCAGGCTTGTGTCAGAACACTGTGTAGGTCTCTTCCAACTTTAAATGGTTCTCTGGGGTTTTTTTCCCCAAAAGTATAAATAATCACCTAATACAGAATTGTGATTGGTGGGATATTTAAAATATATGGCTATAAAATGCTGATTGGCAGGATATTTAAAATATATGGCTGTTTTATTATAAGCATGTGTTGAAACTTAAGATACTTCCTGGGAATTTGACAGCACATGATCTATAAAAGAATTAATCTCAGTCTCAAAAAAAAGCCATGGGTGTTTAAAAGATTTTTATAGCCGGGAGACTGTAAAAAGTGTATCAATTTGCTAAGTTAACTGGGACTATACTTTAAATAGAATTTGATGTTTCAGACTAATGTTTTTTAGAGATTTCGCAGTTAAATTAGTGTGATGGCTAACAAAAATCGCATAGCTTGAATAAACTTTTTAAGTTAAACAATGAAGCAAGCTATCTTAGAAAAATCTTGTTGGTTCTCCAAAATATCTTGCATTATTAGTTCTCATCTGTGTTTTTAGTGTGACTGATCTAAGAGACAATATACATATCTGTGATTAGTAAATTAATATTTCTTAGCTAATATATTGTTCTTAATTCTCTTCTCTGTGTTGGCCATTACCAAAATACTCCTCTAAGTGCTTGTTTTATATATTTCTCTGTTCATAATGTCACTGGCAGTGACCTTGAATTGCCTTCTCCCTCAGTCTGCAAGTCCTTCCTGGGCTCAAGGCCCTCTATAAACAGGTGGCTAGTTGTGTTCCTCTCTCACTCTGTTCTCCCCCACCCAGTTGTCCTGTTCCTGCTGGCTGGTTGGCTTCTGTCTTCTCAACACAGTGCTCACTGCCTCTTCATGCTACATTGTGCCTGCGCCTGTCCACATCCTGACCAGGAAATCTTTTCTGATAATATTTCCTTTTTAAAATTCTTCTCTCTGTTTATAATCTTTACTTAATGATTTTTATGTATTTTAATAATTAGGTTGTATATATGTGTATATATTACTGTTACCGATGTTTCCAAGGTTCATGCAAGAACTTAGTAATTCACAGTGAAAAGGTTTTTTGTTTTGATGTATTTCTAATAGACTTTTTTTTTTTTTTTTTTTTGCAGTTTATAGAAGGGTCATTTGAAGAGTATTTAAAACGTTTGGAAAATCCACAGGTATGCAGTGATTCTGTAATTCTATTTTTATATATTGAAGTAAGGTATTCAACATTCATTAAAATGCAATATAGTGTATGGAGGGGTTACAGCAAGTACTTTTTTTTAAATAAACATTTCTTAGTTGCACATTTTATGTAGCATTTAATTGGAAGACAGTTGGAGCTGTGTACTGGATGTTGCCGCAGTAAGGACAGGGTCGTGCTTTTTTTATTTTTGTCATAATGGCATCTGAATGTAGCATAGAAGACCTACGATAATGGTGATGATTTTCAGGGTGCTGTATTGGTATGGGTATTGGTCTTGGTGGACAGGGTGCAAGATTTGCATGCTTCTTTAGGCCATTGAGAAGATAGGTTCTTCTATGGAGGTTCCATTTCCCATGATCAGCTTGAGAAGAGGGAAGAGACTGTTGAGAGGAAAAGGATGCCACTTCCCCAAGTCCCCCATACTTTTCTCAGTCATGTTGAAGTGAAAAGAATTTTTCTGTTTTTGTTGCTTCCAAACTAATACTCTCCCTGTAAAAATCCAAATATCATGAAATGCCACACAGAGTGCCTTGTAGAATATTCCATCATCCCCAGAGGTAATCTCTGTTGAGTTTAAAATGACATTAGCCAAGGAAGAAGCTAAGAAGAGGAGTCAGGTAGGAAGGAAAAGAAATAATAACTTAGGAACAGGGTGTTTGATTAACAGTTGGGGTCTCCATTTGATTCTCTGAAACTAATTTGAGTCCTTGTTGATGCCAAGAATTGACAGGCACTCTGGGGATGCAGAGGTAATTGGGATTTGGGTGCTGTTCTCAGGAGTTTGCCTGTAGTAGGGAAAAACACCTCATAGAAGTGAGAAAGCACGTGTCATAAGAAGTCTAGATATGATGCTATGGGCATTCAATGTTATATTTTTACCTGGGTTGGCAAAGGAAGAGGTAGTGGGTTGGCATTTGACATCTGAATAGATTCTGAATGAGAAATGCCTAGGGTGAAGGGTAATTCTAGGAAAGGGAAAACTGAGCAAGGCAGATTCAGAAAGCACATCAGTTTGCGTGAAGTATGTGAAGGTAGGAGGTAGTGAGAAGTCAGAGGGCAGGCTGTGGGACCAGTCACGGAAGAGCCTTCACTGCTAGGCTCAGTAGTTTGGAGCTTATGCTTTAGGCTGGCATTTCTCAGTGTCAGCCATAGACTATCTGCATCAGAATTACCTGAGGTGGTTGTAAATTCCACTATTCCAGACCTGAATCAAAGTCTATGTCTGGGGAGTGAGAATCTGGTATTGGGAAACCTTTTAAATTTTTTGAGACAGGAAGTGAGTATGTCACTGCTGAGAACCAAGAATAGTGCTTGGCTTCTTTGTTGGCTGTCTGGATGGATGGATAGAAGAATATTGTGCAGAGATGGTTTGGAAGTGGATGAGACCAGAGGTGGGAAGACCATTTGCATGGTTTTAAAAAAAGAAATGTTTAATACATGGTAAAATGTGCACATTACATGCAGTGTGAAAAAAGGAGTAAGTATTGTGTACTCCAGTTTTGGAGACAGATACCTCTGAAGGTCTTTTCGCTAAATCCGCTCCTGACTCCATTTTTACTTCAGTCATTTCAGTACTGAGTTTTGCCCATATATCATGGTCACAAATATCATTTTCCTGCATTTTTTTTTTTTCTCTTACCTTAAAGCCTCTTTGAAGATGAGGATTGTATATTTTATTGCTTTTGGGATTTTCATAGTTACCTTTCAATTTTGGGTGCTGAACTGATTTGTGTGTGTGGTTTGAATGTTAAATCCACATTGCATTGTATGTAACATACAGGAAAGATAAACACCAGAATGTTGTTATCTCTAGTAATATTCCTGGTAATTTTTACTCCATTATGGAAAATAAAGGAAAAGGAAGTAACAAAGTCTGTTTATTAACTCCTCCCCCCCCTTTTTTTTTAAGTAACCTCTACCCCCAACATGGGGCTTGAACTCAGTGCTCAGAGATCAAGAGTCACATGCCCTACTGATTGAGCCAGCTAGGTGCCCCTGTTCATTAACTTTTTAATCAAGAAAAATCCCACAATGTTTTTTATAGTAATCTTTGTGTAGCAGTTCAGGTTGTCAAGCTATGAGGTTCTGAGAAAGGGTGGACATGGTGGGAGTGGAGAGAAAGGGGAGAGAGGGAGGAAATGACGTAGTGTGAAGTGAACTGAGACTGATTTGGGCCTCTGTAGGAGAGGAAGGAGGAAAGTTGTGGTTTTGAGCACATGGGACAGGGGTCTCCTTCCCAGGGTGCTGACTGGCCAGCTTTTTTGTTTTTATGACACCCCCTTCCCCAATCTGATCAAATTTCTTCTCCAGATGTTTCAGGTACCTTCTCTTTGTGCCTTTTTTTTTAAGATCTTATTTATTTATTTGAGAAAGTGTGTGCGTGCATGCACATGGGCAAGAGGAGGGGCAGAGGAAGAGGGAGAAACACACTCCCTGCTGAGCATGGAGCCCGGCCATGTGGGGCTCCATCGCAAGACCCTGAGGTCATGACCTGAGCCGAAGTCAGACGCTTAACTGACTGAGCCCCCCAGGCGCCCCTTGTGCTTCTTTATTAGCAACAGATATTTATGTCTTTATTCGTTTTTCTTTTTCCCTGGTATATGGGATGTATGAAATGAAAAGAGAAACATAGTTGATAAACTCTTAACACGTTTCACCCAGTTCTTAGAGAAAACATCTTTATTCTTTACTTAAAATGCCAGTGGAGCATTTTGAAAAATGCCTCAAACTTTTGCAAGAATATATTTTTGTCAGCTTTATGGAGGTAAAATCGACACAGTGAAAATCACCAGTTTTTTTTTCCACCTAAAATTCACCAATTTTAAGTGAATAATTTGATGAGATTTGACAAATGTATACAGTTGCATAACCACCGCTACAAATACATAGGGGACGTTTCCATCACTTCACAAAGCTCCTTGTGCCCTTTTGCCCTTAGTCTCTTTTTCCCCACCTTCTGGCTGTTGGCAACCACTGATCTGATTTGTAAGTTTTGCCTTTTCTAGACTATATGAATGGAATGATATAGTTTGTAGTTTTATGTATCTGGCTTCTTTACTTAGCATAATGGAAACACTTTGAGTTTCATCCATGTTGTTGTTGGGTGTGTCAGTGGTTTGTTCCTTTTTATTGAGGAGTTCATTATAATGGATGTACTGCAATTTGCTTGTCCATTTATCATTTCATGAATATTTGGGTTCTTTCCAGTTTTAGACTGTTTCATGATTAAAGCTGCTAAGAATATTTGCCTGTAAGTGTTAATGGGGACATATGTTTTATTTTCTCTTGGATTAACACCTAGGAATGGAATTGCTGTCACAGGGTAATTGTATGTTTAACTTAATGAGAAGCAGCCAAACTCTTTCAAAGTGGCTTTGCCATTTTGCTTTCTCATTGGCAATATATGACAATTCCAACTGCTCTATGTCTTTGTTAACATTCAGTCTTGTCAGCCTTTGAAATTGTAGCTGTTCAGTGGTTGTGTAGTGTGGTATGTCATGGTGGTTTTAACTTGTATTTATTTCTCTAATGTTGAACATCTTTTCATGTGCTCATTTGCCATCCATATATCTTTGTTGGTGAAATGTCTGTTCATAGATTTTGCCCATATTTTGTTATGTTGCTGGTTTTATTGAATTGTGTAAGAGTTCTTTATACTGGATATAAGTTCTTTATTGATAATGTAATTTTCAAATATTTTCTTCCAATTTATAACTATCTTTTCATTTTCCTAATAGCATCTTTAGTAACAAAAGTTTATTTTTAGTGACTGTTGAACATTTAAGTTACATGTTTTTTATATAGTTCACTAGCTAAAACAGATTTTGCAGAAATGCTGTACTGTGACCCACAATAAAGTATATTAAACATCATAAGTGATGAGTAAATAAAATTACAGCCTTAAGGTGGAAGACAATGGTAGAACATTAGGTATTTTTATATAACTTAATAATTGACCCTGGTTAGAGAAGACAAGATACTATGATAGCCATTGTTTATTTAACCAGACTACAACAGAATTTATTCTGAAGATTAAGGACTTATGGTGCATTATTTGAGAGGTAGTATTTTGTTGACATGAGTAGAATAATTTTCCAAAATGATTTAACGTCTTTTGCATGAAGTAGATGTAGCTTATGTTTGATTTAAGCAAACTGGTTTGAGTGAAGGATTTCCTTTACCCCAGAATGTCACTTGTAGCAGTTTATGAGAAGCCATGATTGTTAGGCTGAGGCCTATTTTAAGAAATCTATTTTAATATATGGTACCCGTTTCATTTTGAAAACCAGAGCCAACTTTTAAGAACCATTAAAATGAAAAATCTCTGGGGGAAAGATTATCCTTGTCTGAGATCAACACATTGTTTAAAATCTTTTCCTTATCTCAAATTTCTTTAAAGGAAAAAGTGGCAACATTCGCTTACCATAGCTCATTATTGTTAGTGAGTCTCGGTATTAAGTCTTTACTAATTTCACAAGTAGTATAGGAATGCATTCTCATGGTAAAAGATGTGATACAGAATGAAGAGTGAAAATCCTTCATTTTCCCTGATCTTGTCTTCACTGTCAATTTAGGATGTATCCTTCTAGTCCTCATACGCCTGCACATACATATACTAAACCTGCCTTTTTGTTTCTCTTACCCAATAGGGTTTTTCTTTTTTTAAGATTTAATTAATTCATTTTAGAGAGCGAGTGAGACAGCGTGCGTATGCGAATGAGCAGGGAGAGGAGCAGAGGGAGAGAGAGAGAGAATCTCAAGCAGACTCCACACTGAACGTGGAGCCTGACCTGGGGCTGTCTTATGACCCTGAGATCATGACCTGAGCCAAAATAGAGTTGGATGCTTAACTGACTGAGCCACCTAGGCACCCCATGACTGACTTCTTATACTTGACAGTCTGATCTTTCCAACTCAGTTCATGTAGGTGTACCTCATTCTTTAGATGGATTGCAAGGTGTTCCATGCATGGTGTGGATGAACCATAAATTATTTGATTACTACTTTCCTATTAATGGAATATTCAGACTTTCTTTAAAAAAAATTTTTTTTAAGCTATTACAGATAGCTACAGTGAACATTCTTGTTTATGTACATTTTTGTGGACCTATGAAATACTTGTTTAGGATAGAGTTACAGAATTTGAATTGCTGGGTCAAAGAGTGTGTATGGATATTTAAAATTCTGATATATACTGGCCATTTCCTCTAATAGGCTTAAAGACAGAGTGACTCCTTTAGGGCTGTAGAACTTCTATCTCATTTCAGAAAGATTGCTAGGACACTGATCTCTTTGTACTTTCAGTCACTCCTTTTTTAACCTTTGTGATTCCTGAGTTCTCCTTCTATTCAGCATCTCATTTTCTGGGCACATACATGTTCCAAGCTATGTCCTGGGTGCTAGGTTAAAGGACAGAGTCCTTGCCTTCAGCAGGTTCTCCACTTAGAGATACCACTCCGTGGTCTTACCATACCAATAGGAACTATCATTTCACCCTGTGTTACTAAGGATTTTTACAACAGAGACTTGGGCTATTTTTTTAAGTACTTTTTTAGTTATATATGTAAGGTCTGTTTTATATAAATGTTTTCATAATATTCATAATACTAATATGAATGAGCTTTTTCTAGGTCATTAGATATATTGTGTAAAGGTATGTGTTAAGGTATTGTATAGAGGTATATGTATTGTAAAGTATGAGACACTTAAGTGCCAACTTTTTTTCTTCGATACAGGAATGGGTTGGACAAGTGGAAATAAGTGCCCTTTCTCTTATGTACAGGTAAACACTGTAGTAACATAAGGAAACAAAAACTGAGTGGGAAATTAGTATATTCCATTATACTAAAAAATTGTTAAAATAGCGAAGCAGTTTTATGCCTTAACTGTGAAGCTTTTTTTTTTTTTAGATTTTTTAATTGCATCAATTAGATTCTGATGTTAAATATGTCAGCGTTTAGAAATTGTAATTCTCAAAATATTTTTGGGAAGGAATACAGACGTTTTTCAGGCCTATAAACGATATCACTTACAACTTGATAGAGGAATGGCTTCCTACTTTCTCAGGGCTGGTAGCATCAGATGGCCACTAGAACAGAGGCAAAACACCCCATGTTACTATTTTACTACTTTTGTTTGGGAGAGGAGCAGGTGAATGCTTTATTTTTTCTTTTTGAAATAATCTGTATAAAATTTTGTCTTCACAATTTCTGTAGTTTTGAAGTCTCCTTTTAGAATTATATCTGAAGTTAACGTATATGCAAATTATATTTGAAGTTCTACTTTTTAAAAAGGTACTTTTGTAGAGGTGTTTACAACTTAGTTACTGTATTACTGTCTTTAGTTTACTGCTCTGTGTCCACTGCCTGGAACATTGCTTGAACATATTAGGCTCTTGATGAATGAACGAACAAATGGTTAAGTCATGAAATATATTTTCTCAGAAGTAATTGCTCAATTTTATTTTCAGGAAAGATTTTATCATTTATCGGGAACCAAATGTTTCTCCTTCACAAGTAACTGAAAATAATTTTCCGGAGAAGGTAAGAATTTTTCTAAGCGTTTCTAAAGGATTTAAGTAAAAGAACCACTTGCCACCTTGACCTTCTGAGCTCTAATTTTAAGGTGACCTTTTGAAATATTTTTGTATGAAGTTTATGATAATTTTTTAAAGTTCCTGTTAATCATTATTTATTTTTTTAAAGATTTTATTTATTTATTTGACAGAGACACAGCAAGAGAGGGAACACAAGCAGGGAGAGGGGGAGAGGGAGAAGCAGGCTTCCCACAGAGCAGGGAGCCCGATGCAGGGCTCGATCCCAGG